CAAAAGCTGCCTTTTCTTCAAGACATTAGTATTGTCATATTCTGGAAAGTTTGCTTTATAAATAAGCAAACTTCAGTTTGCAAATGAGAATGACTCACTTAGAGTTGTACGGTGTCCAAATTGCACAATGGTAAATGGCAGCCCTAAGTATGAAGAACTTTTCTTCAGATTTATATCTATTATATATACAATATGATAGAAGCATAAAGCAAACAACTTTTAAGACAGTACTCTTTGCACATGATTTACCAGCCCGACCTATTAGTAATTTTCAGTTGTTCCAAGTTTCCTTCCAGTCTCTACCAATAAGCACATATAGTTTTAAAAATTATTGTAATAGTAATGAGTATGCAACTTTCTGTGTGTCACTTTGATTCTCCCACTTAAAATTATTTAAAAATTTTCTTGCCTTGCTACGTTGTCTTTCTTTTAATGAATTATCACATATTATATCAAGTGAATGCCACAATGAATTTAGCCATCCTTACTCTGTAATTTGAGGAACTTTAATTAACATGGTATGATTGATAATATTCTACACCCAAGGAAAAAGTTATAATAAAAACTTTCAGATAGAGGAGTTATTTAGATAGTGTAAACAGGTGAAATAATAAATATCCTTCCGAACAATCATACCAAGATGAGTATTTTATTGGAGTAAGGCTAAACAAGAAGTGAATTTGTATTTGGAATTTTTTTGTTTGCATGAAGATTATATTTCTCCACTTGTGTTTACACTGTAAACACAAGCCATCATAGAAGGTTTATTCCACATCAATGTACTGCAACAGGGTGCACCGCAGAGAAGCAATAGGGTGTAGTGAAAAACATGTGGGTTTTGGAATCAAATGGACTTGAACTGCTGTGCTCTGAAATGTTATGTTCTGCAAAAAAAAAAAGACTTGTGCAAGAATGCTCATAACAGTTTTATTTGTAATAGCAAAAAATTGGAAACCATCCAGATGTCTATCAATAGAAAAATGGATAAACTGTGGTATGTTCATCCATATAACACTATTCACCTATAAACAAAATAAACTACTAATATATATAAAAACATGGATTGGTATCAAAATTATGCTCAATGAACGAAGTCTTACACAAAACTGCATTCTCTATGGTTCCATTATGTGAATGAGGGTTTAGAACAAGCAAAGGTAACCTATGTGGAAAAATATCAGAAAATTGGTTGCATCTAGAGCTTTTTTGTCTCAAAAAAAAAAAAAAAAACCTAAAGTATTGAACTCAATTGAAAATATGCATTCTGAAGTGTTTCAACCTACTTTGATATATATAAAAACTAATATGGATCGACAGATGGATGGAAGAATTGGTATATCTAGAGAGAGGTGAATGAGCAAGAATAGTAAAATGTTGAGTGTGGCTTTTCCTGTGGCATTCAAAATTTTGTAATTCAACATTGGAAATTTTTTTGATCTTGGGAATGTTTCAGAAACTTACTGCTTTCAATTTCTGCAAAATGGAAGTAATACTATTTACTTTGCAAGGTTGTTGTGAAACTTTTAAAAAATTGCCATGAAAATAGGCGTGTTCTGTGGTAGATGTTCATGTGGCTCGTGAAGCTGCTTGTCTTCTCTTTCCTTCCCTCTTCCCCGCTGTGTCAGTTCGTAAGCCAGGATTGGTGTTTTTGGATTTGGTTACATTGCCTGTGAACAGTGGTCTAAAGTGGTATGTAGCAAAATTATTTGGGTTACAAAGAATGAACTGCCTGCTGATTATATATTCCTTGAGTGGAGGAACAGATTTTAATAATGGAAATGGCTCAAACTTCAGAGAAGAGGGATAGCCTGTGGTTATACTTGGTCTAAAGGAATTGGCAGAAAGCAGAGAGGAAGGCCAAAATGTTATAGGCAATTATCATGTGGATTTTAACATTTAAAAACTAAGTTATTTAGCTCACTGAAAGCGCTATTTGTGAGCATCCATTTATCTAACAAATATTTATTAAGTGTCTACTGCATGCCTGGCATCGTGCTGGGAGCTGGACAAATGTGCAAGATAGAAATAGGTGCCTGCCCTCTTGGAGCATACATTCTAGTATTGCTAAAGTTGATTGGATTTACAGGGCTCAGTCTGTCAGCCAGCAAAGACTTACTATTTGCTGAGTGCCAGGCATGAAGAATACTATAATAAACCAAACAAACATAGTCCGTACTCTCACAGAGTTTGCAATCTAGCAGATAAGGCAGATTTATGACAGAGAGCGGTGGCTCACATCTGTAATCCCAGCACTTTGGGAGGCCGAGGTGGGCTGATCACTAGATTAGGGGTTCAAGACCAACTTGACCAACATAGTGAAACGCTGTCTCTCCTAAAAATACAAGAATAAGCCGGGTGTGGTGGCACACACCTGTAATCTCAGCTACTCAGGAGGCTGAGGCCTGAGAATCACTTGAACCCGGAGGCAGAGATTGCAGTGAGCCGAGATCGCACCAATTGTTGCACTGCAATCCAGCCTGGGCGACAGAGCAAGACTCCGTCTCAAAGAGAAAAAAAAGCAGATTTAATCGAATCACTTCATGTAACTATATTGAATACACTACGGTGTGCAAAAGACTGGGAAGGAGAAGTCCAGAGTTCTTAACAGAATTGAGGCAGAGTTTCTCCGCTCTAGTCTGGTTGAAAAAATTTTCTCCCCTAAACTTTTCTCTAAGTTAAGAGAATGAGATAAATACAAACAGAGCTTGAGATAGCCAGTGGCCCAGGTCAGGTCACCAGCAGAATAAAGAACAGATTAGGAGCACCAGGAGGTGATGATGTCAGTTCCATTGCTGAATATTCCTTTTGACACCTGGTGGACTTCCTATGCCTGTGGAGCTCCTGTATGGTTTGGCTACACAAAACGAGTGAGAACTGTTCAACTGCTTTTTTTTTGAGACGGAGTTTTGCTCATGTTACCCAGGCTGGAGTGCAATGGCGCGATCTCGGCTCACTGCAACCTCCGCCTCCTGGGTTCAGGCAATTCTCCTGCCTCAGTCTCCTGAGTAGCCAGGATTACAGGCACACACCACCATGCCCAGCTAATTTTTTGTATTTTTAGTAGAGACGGGGTTTCACCATGTTGACCAGATGGTCTTGATCTCTTGACCTCATGATCCACCCGCCTCGGCCTCCCAAAGTGCTGGGATTACAGGCGTGAGCCACCGCGCCCGGCCTGTCCAACTGTTTTTAAACATAGTGAAGTATTCTGGGATTAGGTTTGTCTTCTGCCTGGTCAAGCACTATAGCAAACACTCTAACACTCCCATGCAACCAAGAAGCTGCTAGAGACACAGGTCGTGGGATCAGGAAACAAAGCAGTGATACAACTAACCCATTTCAAGAATGTTTTCCCTCCACTGAGGTCATTGGTTCTGAGCAGAAAGAAGATAGAAGCCAACAGAATATAGAGAACTTACAGGAAATACATGTGTCTCGCAGATAGAAACTGGAGCCCCTATGTAATCGTAATGCACCCTGGGAACAAACAAATGAGTTGCTTAAAACCATCGTTGCATTACACATTCTTTAGTGGGGACAACTGATGTGTTGGATTCTGAACTTCTCACCCTCTTAATCAGAAGGGGCTTGGATTATGCTTGGAGGACTTCCATTTTCCAGCACTACCAGCAGACATACAGCGGGTGCATAATAAATACTAGGTGAATTACTATAGGTTTGTTTCCATTTGCCACTTGATTCTCTGAAAGATAAGAAAATATAGGACTATCTAGTGATGAGCAAAGGAAATGTACAAATAAGTGAATTTAGAGCTTTGCTGTGATTCAGTTAAAACGTTGAAAGGAATTAACAAAAAATTAACTTCTGCTTAAACAAGCACAGTTTTTTTTTTTCCTGTCCAGAGAAATGCCTAGGACTAAAAGCCATATTTCATGGCATCTTCTTAAAGTCAAGTAGATCTGAAAGTGTACGAACCAAGAAAATCAGAGAAGGACAAGGCTGGGGAGTTAGAATATAGGAGACTTAGTTTTAGACCTCCTGGATTCGTAACCTCAACTCTACAACTGTTTAGCTGTGAGATTATAGGCAAGTTACTCAACCTCCATTTCCTCTTCTGTAGTGCTCGTTCTGCCTCAAAGGTATCATTTGAGTTATTGTGCCTAGCACAATTTCTGGCACATAAGTGCTCCATCCATGCTGGCTTTTATTCCAAATGATTTTAGGATGATCTCAATTTCCTCTAAAAGGTTTTTTTAATAAATATGATTTGCTGAATAAATAACTGAAGATAGGATGTCATAACCCTGTAAGATTTTTTATAAATATATTTACAAATCAGAAAAAGATCCTCTCTCTCATGCCCTGATTGTGCTTCAGATTACAGGACCACCACACCCACATAATGGGTCACTTAGTCTGGCCTCTCTGAGTAGAGAGTATCCTCCTCCTACCTAGGCAAACATGAAACCTAACAGAAGATTCAGTGTTAATTTCTCTCTAAAGATAATTCTCCATTAAGAAATGGATTACTTTGCTATAACCTCAGGATATTAAAAAGTCTAAAGAATCTTTGTATTCTGAGTGTGCGTATTCTTGGTCTCAGGCTTTGATTAATTTGACAGGCCTTGGAGAGAAACATATAGGTATTTACCTAGATCAAAATCAGGTTGAAACAATAAATGTATTTTATGCTTTGTGTAAGCTGGTAAATACCATGACTTTTGGAATAACAGTCTTGCTGAAAAATTGACACACTTTTCCTTCTGGCATGTCTTTGCATAAATTGTTCTTCTTTCTGCAAGATTAACTGATACCATCTGTGAGTATTCTATCCCCACTCTCAGCTTGCATTTAAATCTGCATGTTTCTTTTCTCTCCCTCTTTTCAAAGGTGCTAGAATACAAGAGCTACCCTTAGCTAATGGCCAAACACTGCGCCTGAGCTCTCTTTCTTTTAACCCCTTGCTTCCCACTCTGCATCTAAAGGCAAAAACAATCCTCTGACCCGCGGCCCTCCCCCTGCCTGTGATAGGCTGCTTGGAATAGCAACAGCCTGTGTCACCGAAAAGGGCAAAGCCTTCGGAAATAGAAACAAAGTTGGTCACAAATCAGATTAGCTTTGCCGAAGTTTTTCCCCACACTCTTCTTTAGCGTGCTATTATGGGGAAAGTGACCACTTTTGGCAGCGGGGGTGGTCGGGGCGGTTTGGTGGCAGGGGAGCGGCTGTAACTTCTACGTGACCATGGTACCTGTTGAAAACACGGAGGGCCCCAATCTGCTGAACCAGAAGGGGACAGCGGTGGAGACCGAGGGCAGCTACCGAGCCAGCGGCAGCCGGCATCCTCCCTGGGCGAGAGGTAAAGTGAGCCTGCAGGGCTCGGGTGACCCGCAGAGGAGCAAGCTGAACTCGCCTCCCAAGTCGTGTGTGTGTCTGTGTGTGTGTGTGTGTGTGTGTGTGTGTGTGTGTACGCCGCGCGCGCGCATATAGGCACGCTGCATGCGTGGAGGGAAGGGGACAGGGTCTGGTGGGACGTGGGATAGCTCGGAGCTGTAATGTTGTGAAGATTGAAGTCTTGGTGCGTGCCAAGAAAATACAGGTTACACATCCACCACTGGTATGATGAGTCCCTTTGACTGTGTTTACATAATACAATGTATGGATCTTTTTCATATTGGAAAGGTCCACCTGCAAAGACAGTCTCGTTTGTAAACACACACAGGCACACACATGCCCACACTTTTTCATTTATTGTCACAAATGGACGCTGTGTCACCAGTTGACATTATAACCACTGTTTTAAAAATCAGTATTTCAAACAGGCTTCATAAAATTATTAGTTATGTAATCAATGAGAACACAAACTTCCTTTTTAAATTCCCGGCACGTTTGCGATGGATTTGAGCGTTATTCAGAGCCTGAAACGCTTGCTTTGCTGGATTCTGCCTTCTTTAAAACTGGCCTTGCAAACTGAGGTTTGTTTGCTGTGTTGTCCTTCTAGAGGTGAAATTTGGAAAAGTTTTAATTCATTTCAGTGCTCTTTGCTAAATCAGAGGCTGGCCTTCACTTGCATATGTACTGTTTCCACAAACACATTGTACACTTTTTGCTGCCTCTTCCTGTTCATTTAGTATGTGGTGAAAGGAATTGAAAGTACTTGAAATATGAAATGGCAACAAACACAATTAATCTTCTCTTTCCTACTACTTTCCTCAGCTGTGTCTTCTTAATCAGATGTTACATTCCCAAGCAGCATATAGGAATTTCATGCAAAATCCAATACACCAAATGATACAAAAGACATTTGCCTTTCTCTTGGGAATGGTCCTAACACTGATGTTTGCCTTGTGGGTTTGTCTGATCTTGCGGAATTGAACCTGTGATCCCTCACATCGAGGCAGGAAGCGACCCTCTTCAGGAGTGGAGAAGCCCTCCATCTTCCAGGTCCTGCGCTCAGGTTTCTCTTGCTTTCTCACTTCCCATCAAGAATGAGGCCAGGCATGATGGGTCATGCCTGTAATCCCAGCACTTTGGGAGGCCGAGGTGGGCAGATCACTTGAGGCCAGGAGTTCAAGACAAGCCTGGTCAACAGAGCTGAAACCCCATCTCTACTAAAAATACAGAAAAAAAAAAAAATAGCTGGGCATAGTGGCACGCACCTGTAATCTCAGCTACTCGGGAGGCTGAGGCACAAGAATCGCTTGGAGGTTACAGTGAGCTAAGATCGCGACATTGCACTCCAGCCTGGGTGACAGAGAAAAACTCTGTCTAAAAAAAAGAAATGAATATCTAGGATCATCTTTCAATATGGTCTGCCGTCTCTTATGCAAAGGCACCCTTTTCTCTGAGTGCTTGCTAGTCACTACTCACTGGCTCACAAGTTCCTTAAGAGCAGACAAAGAAAATTTATATTTGGAAATAAAGGGAGAGAGTTGCAAAGTTCTTTTCTCCAAACTCCTGGGAATATGAGCTGCAGTGTAGACTGCAGAGCAAGCTGAGGTGGTGATGTTAACAAAAGGGCCGGCTAAATAGAGTCAGTGATAATGTCACAAAGAAGATGAAAAGAAACTCTTGCCTAGGAAGGGCCTTTGTAGTAACCATTAAAAATGAACTGTTTATTTTGATATGGCTTTGAAGGTACAATGTGCTCTTAATAGCTTGTATTGTACAAGTTCGCAATTATCCAGAAGAAAGATCATGTATATTTATATTTACAGAAGTTGGATACCTGCCCAAAATTCAACTTAAAGTGCAGCTATTTATGTTGTTGTAAAGAAACAATTAACAAATAAGTACCATAAATGATCTTTCAAATTTAATTTTAAATGAACTTTTATTATATAGAAGAGAAAGCCTAAATGTTTCCTTAAAATGTCAGATGAATACAACTTTGATTTGTGCTATATATAATATGCATTTAGATGAACTTGAACCTTTTATTTTCTACTTTTGTAAATTTTCTTAACTTGTCTTAAACGTCTTTTGGCACCCAAAAGCAATTATACATACATATTTATAAATGAATTCATGCTGCAGACTTGCTGTACGGTTTTCACAAGTGACTTAAAGTCTCCATTCATTAATACAATGGGATTGTATCTTCATCTGTCTTAGGAAGGTCTTGAGATTTAATGAGATAATATTTGTCAAATACTCCTTTGGCTTTTTTATGTTTTAAACTTCTATAGCTGCTTTCATCTAAGAAATTCAGAGTATTTAAATTATGCTCAACAATTATCGTAATACTTCTGCATTTGAAGGTAGCAAGCTTTTCTATATTCCTAGGTGGAAAAATCAAAGCATAAAGAGGAATGAGTTATATAACTCGGGACAGGGTAATTAAATCATGTGAGATACTGAAAAACAACAACCAAAAGACAACCCCTAAGCTCTGCAGTTGAACTCCCTTGATGCTACTGTGCACAATGAAAAATTTTGGCAGGTCTTTCTTGACTAACCCTCTTTAACTGAAAAGAATGCTTTGTTCCAATGGCTAGAAGCTAATGAACTTAATTCATTTTCAATAAACTGTGACTCCAACTGGTAGCATTTTTAGTAAATTTTTTCAGCTTTCATGGACATGTTTCAATCCATCTTATTATAGGGCAGGAGTAAGCTCAGTTTGAAATTCTGGTGCCTAGAGTTGACAACAGATATAGGTGATGTGAGATACTAGACAGCTAGAGCATCTCACACAAGGGAAACCTGAGGTCAGAAGATGTGTGATTGGCCCAAGGTCACACAGAGGATGGTCCAGAATTGATCCTGGTGGGCTCTGGCCCAGGAGATTCAATACTGACTTCTTCTTTAGCTCCCAGTCTTCCTTTATTTCATGATCCAAACAGTTGGCTGGGAGAGAGGCCTCTTTAGTTTCCCTTAACCCCCATGTGCCCAAAGGTTCAGAAACCAAGAACAGTATTTACTGTATGAGTGCAGGTGGTCAGCACTGCAGAACTCTAAAACGGGACTCACGGACCCAGCTGAAAGGACAGTCCTTCATCCCCTCTGAATGTCACAGTCTGAATTAGGAAATACACACTTCGGCTCAGCAGATGAACATTCTAAGGCAGTTATTCCCAAACACTTTGAAAGCTGTGAACTCCTTTTTCCTAAATAAAAGCTGGGCAGGTGGTGAGTATGTAAGATGTAACTGTAACTATGTTCCTACTGAGTGCTGTTCTCCCAGGTTTAGCTTAAACTGGGCCCGCTGGAATTTCGTCAGGGCTGACTTTCTCAGGCTTGGTTAGTCGGCTCTAGGGGACGTCAACTTGTAAGAGAGACGGAGGAGACTTTTGGAAACAAACTCATCCCCAGGGAAGAGAAAGTCAGGCCAACCAGCTTGACCTTATATCAGTGCTTCAGTTGTGAGAAGACAGATCATGGTAAGAGGCCAGTTACCTTGGGCAGACCTGGGCATCTCAGAGTTTTTGAGATGCTGGGCCATTCCCATTTTTCCACACTTTCTATATATTACAAAATAAACAAGCCTGGAAACCCATGACAAAAATTACAGTGCTTTAAAAACATATATATTTAACAAGTCAATGTCTGATAACAATGATTATGTCTACTGTGATACATATTCCCAAGGGAATAACATGATTTTTTTTTTTTTTTGAGACTAAGTCTTACTTTGTCACCCAGGCTGGAGTAAGGTGGTGTAATCTCGACTCACTGCAATCACTCTCCCCACGGTTCAAGTGATTCTTGTGCCTCAGCATCCTAAGTAGCTGGCTAATTTTTGTATCTTTACCATGCCAGTCAGGCTGGTCTCCAACTCCCAACCTCAGGTGATCCGCCTGCCTCGACCTCCCAAAGTGCTGGGATTACAGGTGTGAGCCACTGTGCCTGGGCTGGAAATGACAAGATTTTTAGACGTGTTCATTTATGGAGGACAGCTTGCTCTTCTGTGTGGTCAGGAGACCAGATTTAAAGATGAACATCTCCCTTTTCAGTCCAGACAGCGTATCTCTGTGGCTGTACATTTACCCTCACTTGGAAATCACATCGAAAGTCTAGATTTGAGGCTTTTCACCACTGTGAGTGTTGGGCAAATGGCTCCTCTGGGATCTCCTGGGAAGGGGGGAGGCTGTCGACATGGTGGGAGCTGTTTCACTGCAAACTCTGGGTGCCATGCGTCACACGCAGCAGTGGTCTTGCCCCTCTCTAAGGAACTGTCAGCCAGAGACAGCCGAGAGGCTGCCACAGACCCCCTCCTGGGCTCTGAAGCAGCAGCAGACACATGCTGCAAAAAGCCTGTCCTGCCAGGGCCTGGCAGACCCAGACCAAGCCAGCCTGAGAGCAGCCAGCCAAGCGGTGGGGCCCACCTGGGCAGGTTGAGATTAGCTGGCACACACCAGCATGCCTGAACCAGTTTTTAAAGCCATTCTGATAGGTCGGTGCCTCTGTTCCAGTTGTTAAATATTTTCAACATTGCTGTTCTCTCTGCCAGATTACCAACAGTTGCTGAGGCAGCTGAGAGCCCAGGAATAGGCCTGGTGGTAGCTGGTAGGACCTGAATATGAGCCCACAGGGTATCTTGTGAATTCTCAGGAGGGTCATCTTTAGTGGTCTAGAGCTTACATTAGTTGATAGAGACAGAACTCAAAATACACTTGGAGCAGCTGAAGGAAGCTGAGATTTGCATATGTATATAAAAGATGAATCTGCCAATTTTAAAATGCAATTTTTAATTCCTGTAGGTGTGAGGATTTTATTATTCATTCAAGAATAGTTCGTTTTTGAATCATGATTTCATAGGTAGCTTTTTCTCAGTACTATTATCTACCCTTCAGGTTAAAAAAGTTCTGAGGGCGCTAAAAGGCTCCATTACTGTGCAACAATTTAAACAGTTATTTA